GTTATTATTGTTATTATTGTTATTTAGATTTCTAAGCTGTCTTGATCCAAGCAACTCACAGAATAAACTGTTGGCTCAGTTATTTGTAACACTTCAAGGACATTTTTGTAGTAATCATCCCAATGTCCAGGGGCAGAGCTAGACATTTTTGCATGGGGTGCCACAGGGGTGGCCAAGGTGATTTTTAGGGGGACACATACCAATAAATAAATCAAATCTAGATTATAAAATTCAAGATGGCTTCCATAGATAACTTCAACTGGCTCTAATTTAGTTTTTTAAAGAAATATTGAGCTAAATTTTTTGCGTTATTGTAGCTAAGAATGATGAAAAAACATGCTGAATGTTAGTCCGAACTAAGACAGATGCTAGTGCTAATTTCACAAGGTGCTATAATTTACAATTTCTAAAACACCACTAAAAAAATTGCATTGTAGAAGCCAAGAAACAATCTTTTACTAAATCTGATTTCAAATACAAAATCCAAGATGGCCACCCAAGATCATTCCAAATGGCTGCAACTCAGTCACTTTTAGAAATACTGAACTGAAATTTGGTGTGGTGGTAGCTACGAGTAATCCCCATACCTCAGCTAGCAAAAAAGTTTCTTATTGTATGCCCATCTTTGAAATGCCCCATGCTAACCCCACCCCTCTTGTCAATCATTTGGAGGGTGTCATGGGGCCAAGAGGGGCAAGTGCCACCCTGGCCACCCCTCTGGCTCCGCCCCTGCCAAATTCAACTATAGAAGCATTTCAGATGAGAGGCGAAACCTTTTTTTTTACTGAAACCTAAACTTAATCCTTGAGATTTTATACCTCCATCTATTCAGAGAAATTTGAGCAAAAGCAGGGATTTACAGTGACCTCAGAGATGTGAAAGACAAGCAGGTATTTATCCATCATGACGGTACCATGTTGGTTTTAATTGTTCCATATTTATTCTGTGTACGCTCCTATAACCACTCTGTAAAATTAAATCAAAGGCCTTCTGTACTTTGTGACCAGAGGGGAAGCAACACTTTTTTTCCCTTTTTTGAGTGTGTGAAGTGACAGGATGCCAAAAGACATCTCAGCCCTGTGGGGTTTAAAAACCTTTAACCTGTCCTTCACTCCTCTGTTCTTTGTTGTAACGCTGACAAGCCTGTCAGTTCCTTTACTTCCTGCATCTGAAACCACAAAGTTGTCCTTGTGTTAAACAACAGAAACAAATGTTTTTTAATTATTAAAAACAGTGAAAGTATTCAGTTTCTCTCACGCCCATCAACTCATTCTAAACAGAGACACATAAACATCAAGGGTATTGTGGAAATTACATTTTATTTACATTATTAGGTCTATAATCTATCAAATGTTAGTAGGATTTTAAATTTAATATTGTCTTCCATGGTCATTTTATACCCTTTTCATAGTCTCAGATGTTTCAGTCTTCTTTTTTCTCCCACACAAACTCTAAGGTGCAGTCTTGCATCTTGGAGATGAACGCGCTGTCAAAACACTGGTTCTGCTCCTATGTGAACATGTTTTTCCAGTCTCCAATCTGACCTGTTGTGTCAAAGGAGGACATGAAGAAATACTGATATTTAATTAAACAACAACAAAAAGTAAGTTATGCACAAAAAAGGCACTTCTGCAGTTTCTCAAACAACAAACTCTGGACCTGCTTTGAGCGTCACATCAGTTGTTTTATATTTCGTTTTACTTTAATTCCTTCACTGTGAAGCAGAGTAAACAGATGAGAGCCTACCTTTTCTCATGAAAGAGACTTTGCTTTGATCCATGATCTCTTCAGGGACAAGCGTGTAGTTGATCATCTTGTTGCTCTTCATGCTGCTGAAGCTGCAGTGTTTCACACAGTTTTGGAGCTCCTCCTCCAGCAGAGGGCGCTGCAGGAAAGCGCCAACTCTGCCTATAGTCCCATGTAGGTCCTGAAAAAACACACGTTTACTGTTTTAACAATGTGTTTAATTGGGTTTAATTCAACCCTTTCTGTCACACAGAAGACACTCAGGC